TCCTTTTGGGGGGGCCGGTACAGAAGCTAGGCGATGCTCGTTATCGTTTCTCCAGCGTGCTGGCGGACTTGGATCCCCGATGCGTATTCTTTTTCGATTATCGTTCCAGTTGGCAGTCCTCAGTACAGGTGCAGTACGACTCACGACTTCTTTCGCCTCTATTTCGTCGAGTGTTCCGAGTGCAGCCAGCACTCTAATCGCACGACAGAAGGAGAGACCCAATGCGCTGACGAGGAGGAACACGCCAGGGACATATATCCACGACAGCTCCGAGGATCATTACTAGAACATCGTCGTTGGTGGGTGCCAGGGCTGTCGCGCCTCCTCGACACTTGGAGGGGGCTCCACTCTGGATGGAAGGCCATCGGAGTGGGAATGGCCGCTGCCATCAGCTACGTCGCCTGCGTGGGCGCGGGCGGTTGCGGCAGTGAACACATGCGACGCCTCTTCATCGGAGGGCCCGAGCAGCAGGTTCGTGTTCCCTTCAACGCTGGGCGCGGGAGGTAATGAGTCGGCCAGTGGCGAACTCGGATTCCAACGAGTTTCGCCGAGCGGCCTACGTCTCGCCTCGCATGACCGGCGTGGCTCTCGAGTGCGTGGGCGAGTGACCGCCGGCTGTCCTCCTCCAGTGTGGTCATATCAACGACAACCCAGTGCCGCCCATGACGTACCTCGCTCACAGGTTTGCCGAACGGTGGGGACAGCTTGGAGAGGAGGAGTGCGCTCACCTGGTATCGGCTCTGGTGCATTTCAACCGATTGCCGCGGGGGCGTATCGACAACCTCCTCGCCTGGTTCGACGTCCTCCGCAACAGGGCGCAGCAGGCCGGTCAACTCGTGATCGGCTATGAGTGCCTCAGCTACCTCTTGCTGCGCGCGGTGGGTGCGTCGAGCATCCGGCTCGCCATCATCTCGCAGCACTGCGACATTGAGGGCGCTCAGAGCTGCCCCGAGAAGACTGCAAAGGACGGGGGGGAGCAGGGTTGGATGAACTCTTGGGGAGGGGACAAAGCGGACCCCGACAGCGCATTCCAGGCCAGGGGGTGTTTTTTTAGAGTGCGGCTAGGGCACCTCGCTGGTCGCGAAGCGCAGTTGTTTTCGGGCTCGAACGCTCGGTGGGGCGAGGAGGAGCGCGACCCCCCCTTCCTCCTCCACCTCCCTCCTCCTCCTCCTCCGCCCTCCTCCCCCCCTCCTCCTCCTCCTCCTCCTCCTCCTCCTCCTGCGAATGCGGGCAGTGGCCGAGCTAAGCTCCGCTTCTTCCTCCTCCCCCCCTGCCGTCCTCCTCCCCTTCCGCTCCTCTTCCTCCTCCTCCTCCTCCTCCTCCTCTTCCTCCCCGTCCTCTTCCTCCCCGTCCTCCTCCTCCTCCCGCGCCTCTTCCTCCTCCTCGCCCTCTGTGAAATAAATGGTTGCAGTGCTGGGCTGTATTTGCATGCAGGCTTTCGTGTAATGTTGGTGTGCAGTTGCGGGGCCAACGGTGACGGACTCTCCGTGTTCTTTTGGGCCCAAGTGTTTCAGGGCCTTCTTGCTTGGGCCTGTCGGGGAGAGCCCGCGCGCACTCCGCTTGCGTTCATATTCGCATCCTCTCATCGCTGAGAGAGTATTCGCGCCGTCGCATTGCCATCGGACATAGGATGCACTAGTTGCAGGAGCTGACTCGACCACGGCGGCGAGCGCGACTCGCGCGCGCGCCACTCCGCAGACAAGGCTTTCGGTTTTTACGACGGACACCTCGTGGTTGAGCAAGCGCGACCTAATGCCCCTCGCCTATCGCTATGGCGGCTGGAGCTGCCGCGGCCGGCAGCGAGGGTGGGCCGGGGGGCGGGATTTCCATGCCCGTCTTCGACGGCGCGAGCAACAGCATGAAGAAGTGCCGCAGAGAAGTGGCCACCTGGCAGATCGGGGCAGGGGTCATTTTGTGCGCGCAGGGGGCGACGCTGCTCGCGAACTTTAAGGGCCGGGCCGGTGGGGCCCGCGACGAGCTCGATCTGAACAGCATTAGGGGCGACGACTCGGTGGAAGCATTTTTGGCCAAGCGCGGGGGGCGGTTCCCCGAGATCGAGGTGTCGGAGGCCCTGGTGCTGCTGTGGACTTTCGTGGGGCTGGCGTGCGTTGGGCGCAAGTTCGAGGACATGCGGTGCTATGGCGACAGCTTCAGCGGCATGTCTATGTAGCTGAAGGTCATGGGCGTTGCCGTGCCAGATGAGGTACTGGGTGGCCGGTGCCTCGATGGCGCGCCGCGCCTGCCGCCAAAGCGCGAGGCCAGCGCGCTCGACGCTGTTGGTGACAATTTCGACCCCGCGAAGACGCGGGGGCAGCTGATGATCAACCCGCGCAATCAGCGCTGGGCGGCCGTGGTGGCGACCGCGGCGAGGGCCGCGGCAATGATGGCAACGCGAAGGGCGGCGCGTGCAAGTCGCGCAAGGCGCGCGTCGCGCAGACTGGGGGCGGCGACCCGTCCAGCGACTCGTTGGAGTTCGAGAGTGCCTTCCCGGACGAGCTCCAGGACGTCCTGGGCGACGCGGAGGAGTCGGCGGCGTTCTCCCCCGAGAGGGCGCTTCGCGCGAAGGGCAAGCTGAAGGAGGCCAAGCAGGCCGGGGGCTACTCCGCCAAGATGGACGGAGGGTTCCCGCCTCGGCGGGGCGACGGCGAGGTGGCCAGGATGAAGGCAAGGACTCACTGCGGAGCCCGCGGCAAGAAAGGGCGCTGGCGTGGAGATCCGCAGTGTCCGAAGAAGGGTGACCCGATGGCGAAGGCGGAGATCCTTTGCAAGGGCAGATGCAGGGCAAAGCCCGCGAGCAGAGAGGCGGCTAGCCAGCGGCCAGGGCTGCGCGATGCCACGATGACCAACGCCGAGATCTACCGCGCCGCCGGCAGGAAGCCCGGGCCGGCTTGCGGGCAGCCCGGGGCGCCCCCAATTTATTCAGGGGCGGAGGGGGTCGCGGCGGCGCAATTCTACATCGACCCAAGCCGCATGTGTCTGATGGCTTCGACGGGCCCTGCCCTAATGTTCTGTGGCATCGAGGACCTGCTGAAGGAGTCAGGCGGCAAGCTGACCTTCGGCGCGGCGTGCTCCGAGTGCGTTGGAGGCCTCGACTGGCGCAGTGATCTGAAGAATAATCTTGCCGCGTTTAACGTCCAGCCTATCGAGTACTTGGAGAAGGAGCCTTGCAGGCTCGGCACTGCCGAGGTCGTCTGCGGCGCGAAGGCGGCGCTGGTTCCGTGCGCGGTGAACGGCGAGGCCTTTGCCGTCCGGATGAGGATAGTGCTCGGCGCCGTGCTTGGACTCTTCAGTTGGAAGGCGCAGGGCGAGCTGGGCGAAGTCTACCACGCGGGCGACAATATGCACGACGTTAATGGGGATCTAGCAGGAAGGCGTCCAGATGGGCCTGAGCCGCGCCAGCCGCTCTACTTGGGATATTCTGGGCTTCGCGCCCCGCTACATGCCTGCGCAGGGCGTCTCAGATGCGGATGGGGAAATCCGCCTGCGCGCCCATGCTGTATTTGCTGGAGAAGATGCAGTTGGCCACCGCCAGCGCGGTGGAGTCTGGGCAGCTCCATCAAGGGGCCGACGCTGTATCCGGCTGCGAGCTGGGTAGTGCTGAGCTGTTCGACCAGCAGGCGCGCCAGGTGATGGGCGCATATATCCCATCGCGCCAGTCGTCGTCAGGGTCCGAGAACGAAGCTTGGTGCATCATGCCGACGTCGTCAAGTTCAGTGCGCATGGTAGGAATAAGCAGCGGCCCGAAACAACTAAATCCAACGAGCCGGAGCCAGTGGTTGCATGTGCGGCTTCGAGAGTTAATGATCTGAAGCGAGCTTCGAGAACTAGTGATCCATCAGCAAGCCTATATCAAGCGACGTCATCACCGGACTCTTCTGGCTCAAGAGCTACTGTGGCCTCTGCCGCCGCGATCCTGCCAAGCGCCGTGGCAGATCCAGCCACCGCGCCCCTTCTACGACGATGCGGCCCGTGCCGATGCGACTGAGCCAGCCATGTTCGACATCTCTCAAGGAGGCGACCCCAGAGAGCAGTCACTCGAATGCGCCGACGCCGAGTAGTGTCCGGCCGCCAGCGCTATCTCGCATGAGGTGGCGTCCCGCGACTTGGAGGCGCGCGGCGCAGCTGCGACCAGTTGCGCTCGATCCTGCGCGCGCTCCGCGTGGAGGACGCAGAGGGGCGGGCCCTGGGGCCGATCCCCGGGCGGGGGGAGATGCCCGGGCCGGAGCTGCAGCGGCGGCGCAGGGAGAAGCGCGTCCAGTTCGACCAGATGGCAACGTTCCCCAAGCTGAGGCAACGCCAGAAGGGCTGGAGGGTCGAGGGCGCGATCAGCTGCCAGGGTCCAGTGGTAGAGCCTGCGCCGCAGATGCGGGGGGGCGACATGTGTGCCCGACAGCCGACTGCCGCTGGGTGCTGCGCAACGACATGGGCTACTTCCAGGGCAGTCCTCGAGCTGGACAAGGGACGGGCCAGTCCGCTCCTGGCAAGGTTCGCCCGCTGGGTGAAGGCTCGCGGCGTCGAGCCGCTCCCGCAGGAGAAGGCGAAAGCTGCGATCGGGAAGATGACGGCCGAAGAGATCGTGTTGGGCGACATCTCCCTGGCACCCCCGGCGGTTGGCAGGGGGTGGGGCATGGGCTCATCATGGAACAGGGCGGGTCGCCGTCGCAATCGCCCGCTCGAGCCTCGTGAGATGGGCGCTGGCGGCCGCGGCGACTTCGAGATCGGGGGGGCGGGCGCCGAAACGAGCTCCTCGAAGCAGGGTGTGGGCCTGCCGAGCGGCGGCCAGTGGCAGCCAGCCAAGCATCAAGAAGGAAAGCGCACTGGCCTGCTGTGCCAGGTCGTGGACTTGCTGGGCGCCTATGCTCTCCAGACGGTGTTCGCCGCCCAGTGACAATCGCGGCTGCTCCAGCCGCTCGCGCAGCGCGAGACTGGCGGAGCACGTGAAGGGTGGACCACATGAGGGGTGTCAAGGTGGTGCAAGCCGTATCTGGGCACGGCGCGTAATGGCAAATCGTGCAGCAAACCAGCGCGTGCACCAGGTCAGGTGCGATTTGTGCGAGCATGGAGCTAAAGGACAGAAGACGGGCATGCCGATCAAGCGCCCCGCCAAGCTGCTGACCACCCGCCGCGATTTCCAGCAGCTACGACGCGCCTGCGGCCGCGTCGCCAGGACGACCAGATGTTCGGTGACAACGTGGCTACTCGCAAGTCCAGCGTCTACCCCGATTGGTTCTGCAGATCGGTGGTGCGGTTAGTCGAGCAGATCATGCGCTGGCAGTGTCGGCGTCGAGCTCGCGAGGTCGCCTGCCCCCCCACTCCGTCGCCCTTCGTCGCGCCCGAGCAGATGGGGCAGGCCGCCGCCTGCGGGGGCGATGCCGCGTCCACTGGCAGGAGCGGGCGAGCGCGCTGGGGAGCCAGAGCCCATGGGCGACGGAGAGGACTTCGCCGAGACTCACGACGTGAAGGCCGACGAGATTGTGGATGGCAGGATCGGGGTCGGCGCGGTCATTTCCACGAAGAAGGCAGCAGCATGCTACAAGCAGGCAGAGCTGACGCTGCTTTGGAGACTACGCATCATCCATCTGATGGAGATCTGGGTGGCAGTCAGCGGCCCTGAGGCGCGAAGTCGGCCGTCGTCGAGGCCGCCGAGGGGCTGGTCTGCGGCGTGTGCCGGTCGCAGCATCGCCCTGGCGCAAAGGGGTCAGCGCGCCTCCAGTTCGTGCGAGATTTCGGCGACGACGTCAGGTTCGCCTGTTTCGAACTCAAGTACGTCGAGGGCAAGAGCTACTGGTATTGCAGCATAGGCGACTCAGCTGCCACCATCCATGTGGCGATGTTGATCGCCAGCCGCGCCAGCCAGGAGCTCGCGTCCGCGTTCGAGAGGTGCCGGGCCTCCTGGGCAGGTATCGGACCGAGTGCATTCCGATCCGAAGAAGGGTGTGGCGGCGTCGTCAGTGAGCGCTGTTCCAGTCTTTCAAGTCGGTGCAACTACCTATCTCTGGACAGGCACATTAGCAGCTCGGTCGAGTGGAACGGCATCGGGCCTGGTGGAAGGAGCTCGCTGCCAGGACGATGGTGGACTCGTCGATCACAGGCCAGGACGAGATGCGCTCGCTGGGCATCGTCGTGTCGGGCGCCAAGAACTCGTTCAGGAGGCGCGCCTGCTTCGGCCCGGCACAGTGGGTGTTGGGGCGCGATCTCAGGATGCCAGCCGACCTGGTGGGCGACGCAGCCGATTGCAGCGCCCGCGGCCTCGCCGCCAGCGACGAGAACATCTGCGGGCGGTGTGCCCTGCGCGCGGCGGCGCTGGAGTCGTTCAAGAGGATGGAGAACGACGACCAGTTCAGATGGGGCTTGCTGTCCCGCGCGCGGACTGTGGCCACGCCTGTGTCAGTGGGCGAGATGCGCTACGTGCTCCGCCAAATAAAGATGAAGGAGCAGCGTGAGCAGCGCAACCGCAACGACAAGAAGTGCATCTGACGAGGACCGTGCGTGGTCATCGGTCTTCAGGGCCAGAACACCTGTGTCTCGCTCGGAGGCCGCGCCATGCTGGTGGCCCCGGAGCACATCGAGGCGCTAGCTCCGGAGGACGTCTGGTTCCCGAATGGCAGAGGCGAAATCGGCTTGGCCGTGGCAGAGCTTAATCGGGCTCGTAACTCGCTCGAGCTGGAGGAGGCCCTGGTAGAGGACGTGCGCCGGCAGCCGGGTTGGTCCGAGATCAGGCCAGACGAGATGGAGGCCGATTGGAGGGGCTTCATCGAGAAGCCCGAGGATGACGACGTCAGGGTGGAGACGGGGGTGGACGAGGAGCCGGGGGCTGTTGTCGAGGCTCTGGAACTCACGCCCGGAACGGACATAATAATGCATCAGTCTCCGCCATGCCCTCTCGGACCAGCTGAGTTCAGACGACGTCGAGCCACCTTCGACGGAGGAGACAGCTCGGACTTTGGCCTCAAGCGCCTGCAGATGTCGCGCCACCAGCCAGGGGCATCCGTAGAGCCCGCGAGGGCAGCCTCGCGCGAGCCCAAGGTCGCTGCGGACGGAGAGGCGGTTGCTGAGCCGCCCGCTGGAGGAGTCAGGGATCGATCGCGGTCAGCTCCACGACAGGCGCTGCAGACATCCATTGTCGCTGAGCGAGTCAAACGCAAGCAGGCAGATAAGGATATTCGTTGGAAGGATATCAAGGGTACCGACCGAGAGGTGTGCAGGGAAGCTGCAGCCAAACAGTGGGGCGAATGACAGAAGTGCGACAGCTGCCGAATGCTCTCTATCGGCGAGTCCGAGGCGGTCGGCAGGACGGTCAAGCCTGGCATGATCTTGATTAGCCGGTTCGTCTACTGAGACAAGAACGCACCGCTACGGACCGAGAAGCATCCATTGCTGGTCAAGGCCAGGGCCAGGCTCTGCGTCGGCGGTCACATGGACCCGCGCTTGGCTCTGGGTGACCTGCTCGCAGTTGCGCCCACGGTGACTCGCAACTCTACCATGCTGTTCTGTACGCTGTGTCAGTGCCTTAGCCTGGACAACTAGGACGCGATCGTGGATGCAGCGTTCATGCAGGGCGGCGAGCAGCCCGACCAGCGGCCGCTCATGGCGCAGCCCCGCGAGGGCTTTCCAGCCTCGACCCGAAGCAGTTGATCAGGATCCTGAAGGGGGTCTTCGGGCTGTCTACCGCACCGAAAGTTGTGGGCTAAGCTACGTCGGACGTTGCTGGAAGTACAGGTGGCTTGCGCCTGATTTCCTCCTCAAGGTGCTCCAGCATTCACTGGGTCCTGCGCTCTACTAGGGCGTCGACCCGCGCGACGAGCTGTGCGTGAGGGTGGTGGCTCGCGTGGGCGACCTGCTGCTGGGTATTTCCGCCAAGTAGCAGGCGCTCTACAACGTTCTCTATAGGCTGCTGCCGCGTGGCGGCTGGCGATGTTTGCCGTGCGCATTCTGTGGTAAACAGGTCTGGGGAGATGAAGATGGCGCGCCGCGCCAGCGGCGGACGGAGCACGCGAACGCTATCGAGGAGACTCGCTGCGCAAGGGGCGCAAGACTGAGCTGACAGCAGAGGCGACGCCGGCCGAGTTCTCGGACAAGCGCTCCGCTCTTGGAGCGCTGGGCTGGCTCTCATCGCAGATTCGACCTGACCTGGTGGCTGGGGTGGCCATGGGCCAACACGCGCAGGATAAGCCCACCGTCCAGGACTTGCTCGAGTCCGATCGGCTCAGCAAGCAAGCGCGCAAGCGCGCGGGCGCGGGCCTGGAGCTTCCCGAGCTACATTGCCCCCTCTGCCTGGTGCCCTACCGCGACGCCAGCCGGGCCAACGCTGACGAAGAGCCTCCCGGACCTTTTTTCAGTCCGCTCAACGAGTTTACCAGCGCCGAGGAAAATCATTTCCATATTCGCTCGCAGGCAGGCCGCGTGGCGTGTCTCGCGGAGGCCGGCATTCCACGTGGAGGACGAGCTCGGGCGAGTGTCGTGCGTTGGAGATCGGGCGCCATCAAGCGTGTGAGCAGATTGATATTAGCAGCTGAAACCATGTCTACAGTGGACGCCATAGGCCGTGCACAAATTAAATGTTGTGTTTATGCTTCGCTGGTGGTGCCGAATGCTTGGCCAGAGGGCATTCCAGTAAGCTTGCTGCCGCTCGCTCAGGTCACATATTCCGTTAGGTTGTATGATGCTGTGCACGCAGGTGGTTATTCCAAGCTCATGTCAGAGCGGCGCCCCTTGTTAGACCTAGTTGGCCTAAGTGAGTCCCTACATGATGAGGTCAGCGACGAATTCGTGGCATATGATCAGCGCGGCCAGCTACTTCCCTCTTGGGTCCCGACCGACCAGCAGCTCGGCGATCAACTCGCCAAGCGATCTGACGGCAACGACATCAGGGTGGTGCAGCGCGACGCACGTCTAGCATTGCATATCAGCCAGCGTTGACTCCAAATCGATAAGAGGACAGGAGGAGGACGAGAGGAGGATGGGAGGAGGACGAGAGGAGGACGGGAGCAGGGCGGGAGGAGAGCGGGAGGAGCAATATCAAGCAAGCGCAAGCAAGCGGAAGCAAGCAAGCGCAAGAGAGCAAAAACAAACAAGCAATAACCAGCGATCTAGTACAAGTAAGCAGGGGCAAGCAAGAGCAAGCAAGCGAGAGCAAGCGCGCAAAAACAAAAACACATTAGGCAACACGGGGTAGGGGTTGGGGGCAAGAACGTGCTCGCATCAGAGAAGCAGAGCAAGCACGCAAAAGCAAGGAAACAATACCATCGGAAGTTTTGGGGGGGTGCATATAGATTAGAAGGGGGAACTGACCAACTAGTAGGGCTTGATATAAAATTCCTATAGGGCAAGCCTATTTTGAGAAATATCAGGAGCCCACGGATCAGGCTTGAGAGCACGAGGCGCATCTCAACAGCGTCGGCTCGATTTACAAGCGCGCGATGAGGGTGATTCGTTAACTTGATGCACGGGTGATTGTCACGTTCAATCTTCTGCGTGGCAGATGCACAAACCAGAAGAATTTTGCACGCAGGGTGTGGGTATGCAGTTGTATAGCGGACGGTGACAGATCTTCGGTATTTTTTTGGGCTCAATTGTTTCAGGGCCGTTGCGTTTTGGTGTAGCGGGAAAAAACCGCGCACGCGTCGCTTGCCCTCATTTTCGCATCGTCTCATCGCGATGATCGTGTTCGCATGTTCGCATTGCCATCGTACATCAGATTGGAGTTCTGTGTCTACACCCTCTTCTTCTTCCTCTTCTTCCTCCTGCTCGTCCTCCTCCTCCATTCATTCTCCTTATAAGCTGTTCCTCCCAGTCGCATCCTGCGGGCAGTCGACGCAGCGGGCCAGGCGTTCGCCGGAGACGTCCTGGCCATTAGTGGCCGTGAAGCTTAAACGGTGGCAACCGTTTCGCAATTGGAGGGCGGGCCGCTTCCAACATGTAGCTTTCGCTCTTGCGCCGCGGTCGTTCTTTCAATGTTTGCAAGAGCTTCGCCGATGCAGGGCGGGTGGTTTTCAAAATGTGGTTGTTGCCCCAGCGCCGCGCGCACTCGCCCGTAGCAAAGGCAACCGTTTCGCGGATTGAGGTCGTGCCGTTTTCAAAGTGTGGCTCTCGCCTTAGCGCCGCGCACATGCGCTAAAACATTTGCAATACGTTTGCGGGTTGAGGGCGGTCTTTTTCAGAATGTGGCTCTCGCCTTATCGCCGCGCGAATTCGTCATAAAGCTTTGGAATCGTTTCGACGGTTCGAGGTTTTCAAAATGTGTCTCTCGCCTCAGCGCCGCGCGCGCTTGTTATTTTAGAGTGCAAATTCATCGCGCATTGGGTGCGCTTCATTCTCAACATGTGGCTGTCGCCTTAGCGCCGCGCGCACTCGTCTTAAAGCTTGTGTGTTTTGGCGCGGTTCAGGATCGTCAAGACGCGACAATCAGCTTGATTCGTGGCGCTGGCGTCCAAAAGAACTGTGTTTGTGCACGCGTCAGGATCTTCAAACGATTGTCCCCCAACGGGGCTTTTCCTTCAGTGGAGGTGAACCCTTGCCGGGCCCTATGAGAAGGGAGAGTGGAGGGAAGGTTTATTCCAACATCGTTGCTGAGTCTTGGGTTTGCACTTGTCCTCCTTCACGTCCTCCTGCGACTGCGGACAGTTGCCGAGCGAAACTCCTCATCTTCCTCCTCCTCCCCCTCCTCCTCCTCCTTCTTCTTCTCGTCCTCCTCCTCCTTTTCCCCTGCCGTCCTCCTCCCTTGCCGCTCCTCCTTTTTCTACTGGGGGTGGGGTGGGGGCCTGACGAGTCTCGCCGCCCCCCTGGCTTCAGGTGCTCTGGCGGGTGGGTCGCCTCCGCGCGGGCCCCCCCTGTGGCGCCCGGGCCGCCATGAGCAGGTCCAGGTCGCCCCGGCGAGCGCCCGCCTGCCCGGGAGGTCCGCGCCTGCCGCCGTCGTCGCCCCGTCAAGCCAAGGGGCGGCGAAGAGGGGGGCGAGGACTGGGTCGTGTGTGGATACCATGGCCGGGGCATTGATGTCTCCCAGATCTCAGGGCCCCATCCGCCGTTGTCAGTGCGCTCGCTGGACTGGCCCGCTCTCGGCCGCGCACGTGCGTCGGGCCCCGGCGGGCGAAGACGCCTCCTGCTGGCCCCTGTCTTTGGCGCACCCGAGTCGTCGTCCTTCAAAGTGCAGGCTCCAGGCGTCGTGGCAGATCACCGCGAGCGTCCTCGTCTTTCGCCCAGCGCAGGGACCTCCGCGGATCGATGCAGCTCGAGAAGCCAGGGAAGCCAGCTCCAATCGTTTTCTGTTTTGTCTGTTTGTTCAGCTCTCCTTCTTGTTTTGCAGCGTCGGGTGCTGAGGTCCTCCCGCGGGCGCTGTGGGGAGGGAGCGTATGCACGATGTTTCCATAGACCCATCATTGTGCTCGATATAGCTGTTGACTTGTTGGCGCAAGGCTCGTCGGACAGTTTCCGAACACAGCATAATGTGTTGTTGGCGCGTATTTACTTGTACTGTGCTTCGCCTGAGTGTGCGACACGATATACGACCGTACTAACAAAAGGACAGGCGGGCGTTCCACCAACATTGGCCCACAATGGACTTGCGGATGCCTTGTGGTTACGGATCTCCAACTGCTCTGCGCGTTGCGCCAGCTTTTATTCTATCACCGTTGCCATCTGACTCCGTGCTCGTGGCGAGTGACAAGTTCTGGGGTGGTGGTGGTTTCCTCATGTGGCCGTGTGGAGAACGCGTTGGAGAGAAGCACTCGCTGGGCAGATGGCAATGCTCAACGGAACATGCCACTCCCAAGTTTCATCATCGATTCCCGAAGCCACAGTATGACAATACTTATGTAATTCATCGAGCCGTTAATATTACGAATGTTGAGCCCCTTCGTGGGCCGTCGTAGCATGTCGGAAGACTCCTGGGAGTCTTTGGTAGGCTTCTGGGGCTTCTAGGGAACTCTCAGGAGCTTCGTGGGGTCACTTCCTCTTGTTTTTTTACGAGGGATCTCGGGGACGGTACGCGCGAGTAAGCGTCGTGAGAGGGTGTGTGTATGTGCCCTGAAAAGACTTACCGAATACTTAACTTACCGAAGCCCTACGACTGCCTCGACGTGCCAGGGGGGACGGTGGCGGATGAGGAGGATGGGAATGCTCCTCGCCTCTCCTCGTCCATCCTGCCCCTCTCCCTCCCCCTCCCCCTCCCCGGCCTCCACCTCCTTCTCCCCCTCCTCGCCTCCTCCCTCACCTCCTCCTCCCACCCTTCCTCCTCCTCTCTCTCCTCCTCCTCCTCCTCTCCTCCCTCCTCACCCTCCTCCTCTCCTCCTCCTCCTCTCTCCTCCTCTCTGTGCTCCTCCCTCTCGACCCCTCCTCGGCTCCTCCGCCCCCTCTCTACTCACTCTTCTCGTCCGCCTCCCCCCATTCTGCCCCCCCCCCCTCTTTCACTGCTCCCCCCCCCTCTCCGAGGGCGGCGACTGCCCTCTTCCGTGGTGGCCGTCACGGAGAGCATCCCCGAGACCGCGTCCGCCTGCTGGGAGATACGCGGCTTCTCCCTGATGGACAGGCGCCCCGACAGGCTCTTGGGCGCACTTCGGGGCGCCCCGCCCTCGCCCCGGCACCCGGCCTGCTGTAGTCGTTGCTTGCCTCGTCTGGTCTGGGCGCCTGCGCCAGAGCGGCTGCGTGGAAGCGAGCGTTGGGGGTTCGAGCCGCTGCAGATCTTTGTGGTCAAGTGTTCCCATCGTGGAGGTGCTACGTGTTCGTATACTTCGAGACGCAGCCCTGCCGTATCTCTTACCTGCTTGTGTTCAGATTTGCCATGTACTTCTGTATTTTACTTGCGCAGATCTTTTTTTACATACGTGCAGGCTAAGTAGAGCGAGAGAGAGAGAGAGAGGGAGAGAGAACGAGACCAGCGCGTGGACTCAAAACCATCACGTATACAGTTTGGTCGGGGGCGGGGCTGGCAGAAGGAGATTGGCAGCGGCCAGGGGCATGCAGAGGGCCAAGGACAGTTCGCGACGCGGCCGCGGGGAGGGGGGCAGGAGACCGTCGGGCCCACGGCCGATGGAGGGAGACGGGAGGGGGAGGAGGAGGAGGAGGTGGTGGGGGAGGAGACCGACTGACTGACACCACGGAGGAGGTGGCGACGGAGGGCCAGCATCGGGTCCGGGGGCCTGGGGGGCAGGGCCGGTGAAGGGCAACGGGCGGCGGCGGAAGGCAAGCACCCGTGCCAGTGCCGGTCAGCAGGCACAAGGCCCGTCGGAAGGGCGGCGGCTACGGCGGAAGGCAAGCGCCGGGGCCGGGGGGCAGCGGCTCGGAAACCATCGGGACACCACTGGGACTCGGTCGGGACATCGCTCGCCGGAGCAGGAGGACGAGCAGGACAGGGGCCTCCCATCCGCCCTCACTGCTTGGGGAACTCGCGCACGGCGTCGACTTCCCAGTGTGGCGGCTTTAGAGAAGCTTGCATACCGCCAAACCTCGAGTCTGTTCCAAGGTGTTCCAGATAGTGGGAACACACGGGCAGGCGTGATCATGGTGCATGTTCGAGAAGAGATCGAAAGAAAGGCGGACAAATCATCATTGCTTCCTTCCTCTTTCCTTCTTCCTCCTCCTTCTTGCCCCCCCTCCTTTTCTTGCTCGTCACCTTGCCGCGCTCCCTCCCCGACCGACAGCAACAGCATGCGGCAGCTGGAGTTATAATCGACAGATGTTTTCGGTAGTCAGCCTGCTTGTTTTCCAGCCCGATCAAAATATCCGAAAAGCAATCTGCATAATGTTTAGTAGCTCGGGGCCAATTCGCTAATTAATGTCCCTTTCTAGCTTCTCGCTAGAGCGGAGTTCGCCGCCTCGCCGCCGACGAAAACAAACAAGTTTAGTAGTTCGAGGCGCTTTGCCCTGCGGGTGCGTATGACTGTGTGTGTGTGTGTGTGTATGTAGCACAGTTTTTCCGTCTCGGGTTCGCCGTCGTCTTACCGTCGGTCTCTCCCCTCCATAGTCCCCCCCTTCTCCCTCCACGCTCCCCAGTCTCTTCAGTACCTCCCCCTCCCCCCCTCATACCCTTCCCCTCAGGGATACGGCGTGTTACGGTTTGACAACGCGATGCGTCACGTTGGATCGATCTCTGTCCTTGTTGCGGTACTGCGCCGTGAGATGCAGAGCAGGAGAGTCAGAAACAATCGGGACAGTCAGGGAGAGAACGTTATGGAGACTGATCGAGGAGGCTGAGGGGGTAGCGTGAAGGTATGTCATGAACATGTCGTCGTATTATCTGGGGGAGTGAGGGATCAAGCGCCGTGTGTTTGAGACTGGTGTCGCTCTGCCTGGTGAGCCGTCATGGGGGGACCAGGTTATAGCACCACAAGGGGAGGGTCAGGGCGCTCATCCCCTAGGAGTAACACTTCGAGCCGAGGAAAATACCCCAAACCTTCCAACTATCCCTCCTTCATGCTCCCTGCTCGCTGCTCCCTGCTCCCTGCTCCCTGCTCCTTCCTGCTCAGGTTTATCGAGTCACCACCCCTGGTGGAGGTCGCTGGCAAGCACTTCAAGCTCCGATCGGCCTCGGGCCACTTGCCGCCGAACAAAAGCGCCCCCCCTGCCCAGGCCGCCCACCGTTCCTCCTCCTTCGTCTCCTCCTCACGCTCGTCGTCCTCTTCCCTCCCTCCCTCCCTCCCTTCCCCCGTGCGCGTGCTCACATGTCGCGGATCGACCCACAGCGCTCCCAGCTCACCGCCGACCGCTGCGTCTGCCAGGGTCGGGAGGAGGAGCAGGTTTCGGTTTGGCACGGGTGGGGATGGGTCAGGAGCGCTCTCTTGCTTTCCTTGCCACGCTCTCGCTCTTGGCCGCCCCGCTCTGCTCCTCTACCAGCGGCGCCGCATCCTTCGCTTGCGGACGAGGGCCAGAGGTTCAACGCCCTTCACCCTCCTGGTTTCGGACAGCGAACGAAGTAGGGTAGGGCCCAGGGCCCACGTGAAGCCAGCCGGGGTCAATGGTGCACTCGAGGCGCTCCACACGTGCGAGGTCCTCCCCAGTGGCCCCTCCCCGCGCCCGCCAGCCAGGCTCCAGCGAGCAGGACGCTCGCCACGCCTCCGCCCGACGATCTGTGCGGCACTGCCTCCTTCCTGTCATCACTTGCTCCCTCCTCGACTGGTTCCGGACAGCAGTAGGATAGGGTCAAGGGCCCACGGGAGCCTAGCCGGGGCGAGCGGTGCCCCCGAGGCGCACCGCACGTGCGAGGCCCTCCCGGGGCCCCTTCTCTGCGCCCGCCAGCCACTTCTGGGGGCCAGCCTGGAGCGTCGTCGATGGGGCCTCTGGGGGCCCTCCTGGGCCGTCTGCGGCGACTTGCGGGCCGTATTGGGGCCATCTTGGGCTGGGTGGGGCCCGTGTTGGGTGGTCATGGGGCCATCATGGGTGGTCTATAGCCGGTCTCGGCGTCCTGGGGGGCTGTCTTGGGGGCCTTTTGGGCCATCCCGGGGCCGCCAGGAATCGTCGTGGAGCCCCCTGAAAGCCTCTTGGCCCGTCTCGGGTAGCTGGTCACGGCCTCTGAACAAGTTTGCCAAACATGTCAGTTTTCCGTCGGGAAATGAGACAGCTTTGGCTTGTGGGGGCCCTCGTGGAGGGTCTCTTGGAAGGACCTTGAAGGCTTCGTGGGCTGCCTTGAAGCCTTTACAGGGCGACTGGATGCCATCCAGAATCGTTTAGGGACACAATTGAGCCATTTCGGAGCCGTCGGCCGCTGTCCATGGCCGTTTGGGGAGGGGAGCAACAGTCTCACACGCCGTAGACCCGAACGTGTCGGTGGATGCTCTGCCTCCCTCCCTCTCCCCGTCTCCGTCCCCGTTCCCGCCCCCGCCCCCGCCCCCGCCCCCGTAGTCGTTGTCGTCGTCGTCGTCGCCCCCGTAGTCGTTGTCGTCGTCGTCGTCGTCGTCGTCGTCGTCGTCGTCGTCGTCGTCGTCGTCGTCGTCGTCGTCGTCCACGTATACGTCCACACCCACGCCCACACCCACGCTCGTCGTCGTCGTCGTCGTCGTCGTCGTCGTGGTCGTCGCCGCCGCCGCCGCCGTCGTCGTCGTCGTCGCCGCCTTCGTGGGGCTGGGCAGCCTCGGCGATTCGTTCGGGCTCATCGGGGGCGCCCTCGAGGTCGCGCGCGGCTGCTTGTGGCCGCATTGGCTTAGAAGGTTGCACGAGTCTGCGCCGAGCGCTGCAGGGACCTTTTTAGCCGCGCCGCCGGGGCCCTCCCTCCGTCCTGCGTCTTCCGTCCTCCGTCCTTCCCTCTTCTGTCCTCCATGCTTTATCCTGAGGCCCTCCACGTCGGGCAGGCGCACAGGAACGAGAGCAGCGTACGGTCCTGCCAGATACCAGCCGACTCCTCATCGCTAGGAGCGCTTCTCGGGTCGTCTTTGGGCCATGCCGGCGCCTCTCTGTTGCTCCCGGTCCCAGGAGGGAGGGAGGAGGGAGGAGTGGGGAAGGACGCCACAGGCAGTCTCACGTCTTCACTTCCCCATGGGAAAGCGTCTCGGAGGCCGCCTCGCACTTTGGTGGCCTGGTGGTCCCCAGGGAGCTGGCGGATCAGGGCGTACCTTGGCGGGTTCCAGAGGGCAAGCGACTCTGGAGAGTGCTCGATCTTCTGTAAGCGGATGGACGACCAGATCGAAGAGTTGGTCCATGCTCAGTTCACCATCACCGTTGTGGGTGTCGAGGAACACCGGATCTCCAAGACGGAGAACAGCACCATCGAGTTCAGGTCTGGAGGGGACCGAGGCTGGACTCACTTCTGCACGCTCCAGAGCCTGAACACCCCAGAGTACGTCGTGGACGACTCGCTTGTCATCGAGCTCTCGATGAAGGTGCAGAGGGGGATGATGGTGCGGGAGCTCGGCATCCGGTGGACCTGCTCTCCTCTGCCACTGAAGACCAGGAGCTGGCCGACCCACGGCAGAGTGCTCTGCTGGGCGAGGCGCCATGCGCGCCCAGCAGAAGCACTGCCACAGGTCGGCCGCCCCTGGTCTGCAGTTGTCGGGGGGTTCGTAGAGGGGGGGGGTTCTAGCCCACGTCAGGGGCAACGTTGGCGGAGGGGGGGGTACCTTCAGGGTGGGATGCATCGACCCCCAGTCGCCCATTGATCGCTCTCGATGTCTCCCCGTCTGGGTGAGGGAGGGGGAGGAGGAGGCGGAGGAGGCGGAGCAGGCGGAGGAGGCGGAGGAGGCGGAGGAGGCGGACGAGGCGGAGGCGGAGGAGAATGAGGAGAATGAGGAGGAGGAGGAGGAGGAGGAGGAGGAGGAGGAGGAGGAGGAGGAGGAGGAGGAGGAGGAGGAGGAGGAGGAGGGGTCAGGGAATGAACCAAGCTGGAGGCAGGCACTCCCCTCGCCGTGGCCTCCCAGAGAGCGAGTGCCTCCAGCCCGCCCCCTTGGTTCCCCCCCGCCCCCTCTCTCTATGGCCATGGTCAAGTCGGGCCTGTCCCTCTAGAGGATGACTATTCAAAAATAGTCAAAAAAATAGTCTGGGGACCATTTTTGGAGAATTTTTGAATATTTGGGGTATGTTTTGAGAATTTTGATTTTTCGCCCCAAATCCGCCTGTAGGGGGACACGCCCGACCGAACCCTGGTTCACCCCCCCCTCTCTCTACGGCCATGGGGCGAAGTGTGGTGGCCAGCGGTGAAGAGCAGGCCCGCCAGCGATCCACAACCGCAGCGCGCCCGGCAGCGGGAGCGCGTCGGCGAACCAGGCATTCGCGGGCGACTGGGCCAGGTTCCTCGAGAGCGGGCAGGCCACCGACGTTGAGATCCGGTGCGCCCCGGGCGAGGGCGAGCAGGCGCCCGGGGTCAGCCGAAGCCTCGGCGCTGGTGGAACCCGACTCTCCCCCCCCCTTGCGGGCGGGCGAGCAGGTGGAGCGGGAAAGGGGGACGATGATGATGATGAAAATGATGATGATGATGATGATGATGATGATGATGATGATGATGATGATGATGATGATGATGATGATGATGATGATGATGATGATGATGGTGATGATGATGATGATGACCATGGTGATGATTAGGATTATGCTGCTGATGGTGACGATGATGCTGCTGCTGCTGATGATGATGACGGTTAGGATAAGGATGATGCTGCTGCTGACGATGATGAGGATGATGATTATGAGGTTGATTATGTTGTCGATGCTGCTGCTATTGATGATGCTGACGATGATGATGCTGACTATGCCGATGGCGATGATTATGATGATGATGCTGATGATGATGCTGCTGATGATGCTGATGATGACGATGATGATGATGATGTTGATGATGCTGATGCTGCTGATGATGATGCTGGTTCACATGATGATGAGGCTGATTGTGATGACGATGATGACGATGACGATGATGATGATTCTGCTGATGATGATGTCGATGATGCTGATGGTGATGATGGTGATGATGATGCTGATGTTGCTGGTGATGCTGCTGATGATGATAATGATGAGGTTGCTGATACTGCTGATGATGATGATGATGGTGCTGACGCTGACGATGATTATGACCATGGTGATCATCATCATGACGCTGCTGAAGATGATGATGAAGAAGATAATGATGCTGATGATGCTGCTGATGATGATAATTAGGATAATGATACTGACGATCATGATGATGTTGCTGATGCAGATGATGATGCTGTTGATGAAGCTGATGATGATTTTGCCGATGCTGACGATGATGCTGATGATGATTATACTGATGATGACGATCATGGTGAAGATGATGATAATATATAATGATGATGATGATGATGATGATGATGATGATGATGATGATGATGATGATGATGATGATGATGATGATGATGATGATGATGATGATGATGATGCTGATGATGATGATGATGATGATGATGATGATGATGATGATGATGATGAATGCTGCTGCTGTTGATGATGCTGACGATGATGCTGCTGATGATGACGATGACGAGAATGACGATGATGCTGACGATGCTGCTGCTGCTGCTTATGATTATGATGGTAATTAAGGTGACGATGAGGCTGACGGTGATGACGATGATGATGATGATGATGATGATGATGATGATGATGATGATGATGATGCTGATGATGATGATGATGATGATGATGATGATGACGATGACGACGACGATGATGATGATGATGATGACGATGAAGACATTGCTGATTACGATGATGCTGATGCTGATGATGATGCTGTTGCTGATGCTGAGGATGATGCTTCTGCTGCTGCTGCTGATGATGATGATGATATCGATGATGCTGATGCTGACGATGATGTCGATGATGCTGATGATGCTGATGGTGATGATGATGATGCTGCTGATGATGATGCTTCTGCTGATGATAATCATGATGCCGATGATGCTGCTGATGATGATGACGACGATGCTGATGATGCTAACGCTGACGATGATTATGATGATGCGGATCATCATCATGATGCCGCTGAACATCATGATGACGATGACGATGACGATGCTGATGATGCTGATGCTGATGCTAATGATGCTGCCGATGATGATGCTGATGATGATGATGATGACGATGCTGCAGATGCTGCTGCTGATGGTGGTGATGATGCTGATGATGAATGTTATATGATGATGAGGTTGCTGATGATGCTGATGATGATGATCTTGCTGCTGACGATGATGCTGATGATGATGGTGATGATGAGGATGCTGATGACGATGATTCTATGGTGATGAGGTTGCTCATGATGCTGCTGACGATGATGATGAATGTGGTGATGATAATCTAGATGACGACGATGATGGCGATGATATTGAGGATGATGATGATGATGATGATGATGATGATGTTGACTATGTTGACGATGCTGCTGCTGCTGATGATGCTGACGATGATGATGCTGATGATGACGATGACCCATGATTATGATGCTGATAATGCTGATGAGTATGCTGATGATGACGATGATGATGAGGATGATGCTGATGCTGCTGTCGATGATGATGATGATCATGTTGTTGATTAAGATGATGATGATGCTGCTGATGACTATGACGATGGTGAATAGACTGTGGATGCTGATGCTGATTATGATGCCGATGCTGACGATGGCGATGATGCTGATGATGATTACGATGATGCTGCTGCTGCTGATGATGATGTTGATTCTGACGCTGATGCAGCTAATGATGCTGCTGATGATGATGTCGATGATGATGATGATGATGATGATGATGATGATGGTGATGGTGATGATGATGATTATTGGGATGCTGATGATGCTGACGCTGATGATTCTGATGCTGACGATGATGATGATGCTGATGGTGTGGGTGAAGGTGATGATGATAATGGTGATGAAGCTGATGACGCTGAAAATGTAGCCGATACTGATGATGACGATGGCGATGATGAGGCTGCCGCTGACGATCATCATCATCATCATGATGATGATGACGATCATCATCATCATGCTGCTGATGATGATGACGATGATGATGCTGATGATGATGCTGATGGTGATGATGATGCTGATGATGACGATGCTCTTGATGATGATGCTGATGACGATGAGGATTTTGTTGTGCTGATGCTGATGCTGATGCGGATGCTGATGATGATGCTGCTGATGATGTTGATGCTGATGATGATGATGATGATGATGATGATGATGATGATAATGATGATCAGGATGAATATCATGAGGATGACGGTGATGACGAGGATGCAGATGATGTTGCTGCTGACGATGATGGTGATTATGATGACGATGCTGCTGCTGATGCTGATGCTAAAAAAGATGCTACTGATGATGACGATGACGATGATGGTGTCGATGATGCTGATGATGATGTTGCTGATGATGATAATGATGATGCTCATGATGATGATGCTGCTAATGCTGCTGCTGATGATGATTATGATGTTGATGATGTTGATAATGATTAGGTTGTTGCTGATGATGCTGCTGATAATGATGATGAGGTTGCTGATGATGATGCTGATGATGATGATGACGATGACGATGATGGATGATGCTGATGATGATGCTGATTACGATGATATTGCTGCTGATGAAGATGATGCTGCCAGTTGTTGATGACGATATAGGCGATGATGATGATGGTGATGATGATGATCATCATCATGCTGCTTATGCTGAGTTTTTACTACGATGGCGATCATGATGATGCCGATCATGATGCTGATGGTGATGCTGATGGTGATGCTGATGGTGATGCTTTGGATGATGATGATGATGATGATGATGATGATGATGCTACTGATGCTGATGCTGATGATGCTGATGCTGATGAATGCGATATTGACGATGACGATGATGATGATGTTGATGATGATGATGCTCATGATGATGGTGCTAGGATGATAATGCTGATGCTGATTCTGCTGATGCTGATGATGATACTGATACTGATGATGATTATGTTGACGATGCTGCTGCTGTTGATGATGCTGACGATGATGCTGATGATGACGATGACGATAGTGATGACGATGACGATGATGATGCTGCTGATGATCGCGATGCTGATGATGATGATGCTGATGCTGCTGATTCTGATGTTGACGATGATAATTACCATGATGATTACGATGATGATGCTGATGATGATGATGCTGATGATGCTGATGATGTTGAGGCTGATGGTGATAACGACGATGCTGACGATGATGAGGCTCATGATGACGATGATGACGATGATGACGATGATGACGATGATGACGATGATGTTGCTGACGACGATGACGACGACGACGATGATGATGATGATGATGATGATGATGATGATACTTCTGATGATTCTGCTGCTGATGCTGATGATGATGATGCTGATGATGTTGCTGCTGATGATGATGATGTCGATGATGCTGATGATGATGCGGATGATGATGATGCTAATGCTGATGATGATGATGATGATTATGGTGATGATGGTGATGACGATGAGAATGCTGATGATGCTTATGATATCTGATGATGGTGTTGCTGATACTGATTATGATGATGACGATCATCATCATGATGCTGTTGACGATGATGATGGTAATGACGCTGCTGACGATACAGATGATGATGCTGATGACGACGATGATGATGACGATGCGGATCCTGATGATGACGACGATGCTTATGACGCTGCTGATCCTGATGATGATCCTGTTGATGATGATGATGCTGATGATGATGATGATGATGATGATGATGTTGATGCTGGCGAGGTTGAGGATGGTGCTGCTGCTTACGATGATAATGCTGACGATGATGATGTTGTCGGTTATGTTGACTATGCTGCTGCTGTTGATGATGCTGTCGATGATGATGCTGATGATGGCGATGATGACGATGCCCATGGCGATGCTGACTATGACGAAGACGATGATGACGCTGATGCTGCTGCTGATGATGATGATCATGACGATTAAGATGACGTTGATGCGTCTGATGGTCAGGATGATGACGATGCTGATGATGCTGATGATAGCGATTATGATGATGATTCTGATGGTAATTACGACGATGCTGCTGATGACGATGCTGATGCTTATGCTGATGCTGCTGCTGATGATGATCGAGGTGTCGATGATGCTGATGATGATGATGACGATGCTGACGATTCTGATGATGATGATGCTGATGCTGATGATGATGATAATGATGATGATGATGATGACGAGGATGATGATGATGACGATGATTATGACGATGCTGCTGTCGATGCTGAAGATGACGATTCTAGTGATGCTGATGATGTTGCTGATACTGGTGATGATGTTGATGATGCTGACGCTGACGATGATTCTGA